TTTTTTTTTTTTTAATATATTTTTCTTCTTTCTAACGAATGAAATAGCGCCTTTTGTAGCAAGAAAGGAAATTTCTTTTCTTTTGTTTTTTTTTATATTTTTCTTCTTTTTAAGGAATGAAATAGTGTCTTTTGTAGCAAGAAATTTCTTTTCTTTTGTTTTTTTTTATATTTTTCTTCTTTTTAAGGAATGAAATAGCGTCTTTCGTAGCAAGAAAGGAAATTTCTTTTCTTTTTAATATTTTTCTTTTTTTTAAGGAACGAAATAGCATCTTTTGCAGCAAGAAAGGAAATTTTTCTTTTCTTTTTTATATTTTTCTTCTTTCTAAGGAACGAAATAGCGTCTTTCGTAGCAAGAAACGAAATTTCTTTTCTTTTCTTATATTTTTCTTCTTTCTAAGGAACAAAATAGCGTCTTTCGTATCAAGAAAGGAAATTTCTTTTCTTTTTTTAAAAATATTTTTCTTCTTTCTAAGGAATGAAATAGCGTCTTTTGCAGCAAGAAAGGAAATTTCTTTTCTTTTTAATATTTTTCTTTTTTAAGGAACGAAATAGCGTCTTTCGTATCAAGAAAGGAAATTTCTTTTCTTTTTAATATTTTTCTTTTTTAAGGAACGAAATAGCGTCTTTCGTATCAAGAAAGGAAATTTCTTTTCTTTTCTTTTCTATATTTTTCTTCTTTTTAAGGAACGAAATAGCGTCTTTCGTAGCAAGAAACGAAATTTCTTTTCTTATATTTTTCTTCTTTCTAAGGAACGAAATAGCAAGAAAGGAGATTTCTTTTCTTATCTTTTCTTATTTATATTTTTCTTCTTTCTAAGCAACGAAATAGCATCTTTTGCAGCAAGAAAGGAAATTTCTTTTCTTTTCTTTTTTAATATTTTTCTTCTTTCTAAGGAACGAAATAGCGTCTTTTGCAGCAAGAAAGGAAATTTCTTTTATCTTTTCTTATTTATATTTTTCTTCTTTCTAAGGAACGAAATAGCGTCTTTCGTGTCAAGAAAGGAAATTTCTTTTCTTTTCTTTTTTTTTTTATATTTTTCTTCTTTCTAAGCAACGAAATAGCGTCTTTCGTATCAAGAAAGGAAATTTCTTTTCTTTTCTATATTTTTCTTCTTTTTAAGGAACGAAATAGCATCTTTTGTAGCAAGAAACGAAATTTCTTTTCTTACATTTTTCTTCTTTCTAAGGAACGAAATAGCAAGAAAGGAGATTTCTTATCTTTTCTTATTTATATTTTTCTTCTTTCTAAGGAACGAAACAGCGTCTTTCGCAGCAAGAAACGAAATTTCTTTTCTTTTCTTATTTATATTTTTCTTCTTTCTAAGGAACGAAATAGCGTCTTTCGTAGCAAGAAAGGAAATTTCTTTTCTTTTCTTTCTTTTTTTTTAATATTTTTCTTCTTTCTAAGGAAGGAAATAGCAAGAAAGGAGATTTCTTATCTTTTCTTATTTATATTTTTCTTCTTTCTAAGGAACGAAACAGCGTCTTTCGCAGCGAGAAACGAAATTTCTTTTCTTTTCTTTTCTTTCTTTTTTTTCTTTCAATATTTTTCTTCTTCCTAAGGAACGAGATAGCAAGAAGGGAGATCTCTCAGCCTGGGGAGTCCAGCCTCCCATCACGCAGAGCCTGTCGTCCACGGTCACCGCGGCGTGGCAGGCCAGCCGGATGGGGAGAGGGGACACCCTTGCCCAGGTGTCCCGCCCCACGGAGTACCTGTCCACCCGGCTCGCGGCGAGACGCTGGCTCTTCCCTCTCATGTGGCCTCCGACGACGTAGAGCCCCTTCTGCAACCTGCAGATTAACAGGCAGACGGAGAGAAATTCGGGATTAGTGGTTTTCGTTTATTTTTTTTCCGCAGGCGGACAGAGAGAGATCCGGGATCAGCGGCTTTCGTTTATTTCTGTTCTTTTGTTTTGTTATGTTTTTATTTTTGTTTTTTATTTTTATTTTTTATTTTTTGAGACAAGAGTCTCGCTTTGTTGTCGCCCAGGCTAGAGTGAGTGCCGTGGCGTCAGCCTCGCTCACAGCAACCTCAGACTCCTGGGCTCAAGCGATCCTCCTGCCTCAGCCTCCCTCCCGAGTAGCTGGGACCACAGGCATGCGCCACCATGCCCGGCTAATTTTATATATATATATCAGTCGGCCAATTAATTTCTTTCTATCTATAGTAGAGACGGGGTCTCGCTCTTGCTCAGGCTGGTTTTGAACTCCTGACCTCGAGCGATCCGCCCGCCTCGGCCTCCCAGAGAGCTGGGATTACAGGCGTGAGCCTCCGCGCCCGGCCTGTTATGTTTTTATTATTTTTTAAATTTATTCTTTATTCTCTTTTATTTATTTGCTATCCCCGAAAACATCGGCATGGAAATGTTTTTTGTTTTTTTAATTTTTTTGAGACAGAGAGTCTCGCTTTGGTGCCCAGAGCTAGAGTGAGTGCCGGGGCATCAGCCTCGCTCACGGCAGCCTCCAATGGAGGCCTTCTGGCCTCAAGAGATCCTCCTGCCTCGGCCTCCCTCTAGAGTAGCTGGGTCAGCCTCGCTCAACAGCGGCCTCCTGGCCTCAAGAGATCCTCCTGCCTCGGCCTCCCTTCCGAGTAGCTGGGACTACAGGCGTGTGCCTCCACGCCCGGCTCGTTTTTTCCATATATTTTTAGTTGTCCACCTCATTTCTTTCTTTTTTTTAGTAGAAATATGGTCTCCTTCTTGCTCAGGCTGGCCTCGACCTCCTGACCTTGAGCGATCCTCCTGCCTCCCAGAGTGCTGGGATGACAGGCGTGAGCCACCACACCCAGCTCGTTTTTTTCCTATGTATTTTTAGTTGTCCTGCTCATTTCTTTCTATTTATTTTTAGTAGACACGGGGTCTCGCTCTTGCTCAGGCTGGCCTCGACCTCCTGAGCTCGAGCGATCGGCCTCCCAGAGTGCTGGGATGACAGGCGTGAGCCACCACACCCAGCTCGTTTTTTTCCTATGTATTTTTAGTTGTCCTGCTCATTTCTTTCTATTTATTTTTAGTAGACACGGGGTCTCGCTCTTGCTCAGGCTGGCCTCGACCTCCTGAGCTCGAGCGATCCTCCCGCCTCGGCCTCCCTCCCGAGTAGCTGGGACGACAGGCGTGCGCCACCACGCCCGGCTCAATTTTTCCATATATTTCTAGCTGTCCAGCTCATTTCTTTCTATTTATTTTCAGTAGAGACGGGCTCTCGCTCTTGCTCAGGCCGGCCTCCACCTCCTGACCTCCTCCAGCGATCCTCCCGCCTCGGCCTCCCTCCCGAGCAGCCGGGACGACAGGCGTGGGCCTCCGCCGCGACTCCTTCCTCCTTCTACTGCCGGGCAGCAGCAAGGGCGAGGCCCTCGAGCGCATCTGCTTCCGGACACGAACCTGTAGATCTCCACGTCCCCGCTCTGCTGCCCGGACAGCCCGGACGCGCTGGCCTCCCCGGCCACGACCACCGTGTTGTCCTCCGTGACGACCCCGCCACGCACGGTCACCTGGCCCAGCAGCTCCGCCAGGTGCGGGGCCCCTGGGGCCCCCGGTCGTGGCCGGCCCACCTGAGCACCAGGTCCAGCACCTTCTCCTCCCGGGCCACGTGGAGGCCGTCCGACCGGACCAGCCCGAGCAGCTGGTGGGCTTCCACCTGCAGCATCTCCTCCTGGAGGCTGGCCTCCTCGAAGTGCCGGTGGAGGTACCTCCGGGCGCGGCCCCGCAGGCCCCGGGCCCCGATCTGGGCCGCGGACAGGTGGATGCCCAAACGCAGTTGCCGGGCTCCAGGTGCCCCCGCATGTACCTGTCGCAGGCCGCCAGGGCCCCGTCCACCTGCGCGAGGCTCGAGGCCCAGGCCACCTCCTGCACGTCGGAGGCCCCGACGGCCAAGCTCCCCGTGTACATGAAGCCCAGCAGGGCGGACAGGCCCTCCGCGGTGACCCCGCCGTGCAGGGCCACCTCCCTCCTGGAACATTCTACAAGGCCGCAGGTGAACATGGCCCTGAAGTAGGGGCTGAAGGCGGCCAGGGCCAGGCGGTGGCAGGCGAAGCTCCGCTGCCCGGCCACCGGGACGACGTCGGTCATCTGCCCCAGCTCCTTCATGGCCTGGGCCGCGTCCAGCAGCTGCAGGCCGTGCCGGGATCTCTGCTCCCCGCCCGGCTCCAACGCCATGGCAGAACCTTCAGGAATCTCCGGGTTCAGTGGGGTGTCTGGGCTCGGGAGGCCTCCTCCTCCTCCTCCTC